GATTCGATTTGAAAAAATCAAATCAAATTCAAATTGCTTAAATATTTGATTTGATTTGATTTTGAGGAACCCTAATTATTAGGATCCTGTCAGATATTACCTAATATCTTAGGGGGTGGAGGGATAAAGAAGATCTTAGGCTACACATAATAAAATAATCACATAATATTAGTATTGATCATATGATGATCATTTGATAAAGTGGCTTGTTAAGCATCTATTATTATAGACTAATATAGCAATACGTAACATACATACATTTGCAACACATATATATTTAAACATACCTTTTATAAAACTTACTCATTATTCATCTGAATTATAAGCCCTTGGTTCAAGTTCTATTTCATTATATAACTTCTTTTGTTGAGATGAGAGAAGAGAAAAATCGTCAAAAACTGAGTTTTGTTGTTTCTTAGGCTGTCTTCAGATAGTAGAATGCATTAATTGTTTATGATTTGTTAAAAATGTGAGAGTCAGAAAATATTTCTGACAAATAGGGCAGCAAAGTCATAAGTATGTATTTTTTTAATAGATGCACAATAGGCATCATAACCTAATACTTTCAGTAGATCTACATACTGAAGAAGGTGAATCAGATTTATGAATCAGCTATCTTTAGCTTTAGTAATTGGTAGTAAAAAGCCATTATACAGATGAAGAAAGTCCATAGTTTCTTTGGCCTTAGATGATCTACAGCAACTGGTATTTATGTATCATTTGATATCAAGAGAATAGATGCTGTTTACGTCTAAAATCGGTCTTACTATGCTGATTATTAGTGACCAATAGAATGACGACATAATAAACGTGACCAATACTGTGCTGACTGATCTGCATAATTCTGGATTTTGATGATTCTTAAGATCCACAGGATTCTGGGGATTCATAGGATTCTTAGGATTTACTGGATTCATAAGATTATTATGATTCGTTAGATTTTCCTAATTCCCTATATTTCCATTATTTTAATTATTATCGTTATTCTTTTTATTTTTATTATTTTTATTATTATCGTTATAATTATTATTCTTTTTATAATCATTATCATTATTATATTATCACTTGTAATTACAAATTTAGTTAGTTTATAGCATAGCAACTAGCTAGCTATAGCAAATTAATTTTGTATAAATAGAATAGCTTTTTGCTCATGTTGTAAAATAATTCTCTTGTAAGTTCTAAAATACTTGTGAGTTTCAAATAATAAATAAAGGAATCAACTTTTAAAAATAATTACTTTTCCCTTCTATATGTCCATCATCTAGGATTTGATTGTGAACCACTACACTAACTTGTGATTGAGTTCATCACTTAGAATAAATAAATTCTTTAAATTTTCTAAATCCCTAAACCCTTAAGTTCGTAAACTAAGTGAAGTAATTTCAAGGCATTCCGGATACCTGTAGGATGTAAGATTCCCTAAGGTTGTAAAGTCCGACAATAAGAAAATTACTTACCGCAGTAAAGGAATTTAGATATATTACGTGAAGTAATAAGAGAAGATTATTCCTGATACAAATTACAGTAGGTTTCAATCTAAAATCATGAAAAAAAACATTGAAAACATGTATGCGTTGTTTTTTTTTATATCATTTGATTTTTTTGTTCTTTTTCTTTCCTTTTTAATTCTTTAACCTTTTCTCTTTCTGTTTTTTCGAACTGTATGTATTCAAATGGATTTGTGAGTACATTGATATAACAAATATTGACTTTCTTTCTGAAAATTAAATCATGATGCCAAATTTCACAAAGGGTTTCTCCTAAATGGTGAAAATTTTGAGCGGCCAATTCTGGATTAATAACTTTTTCTTGTGTATTCAAATGCATACCGAAATAATCAATTGGTAAGGTGATTTTAGTGAGCTTACCAGACAATGTTGTCATGCCTTTTTCAACTGGATTATACTTCGATTGACCCAGTGCATATGTTGGTATACTTAAGAAATCCAAATCGAACTTTTTGAAAAGCTGACAATAAGCTTTTATATTTTTAAATGCTTAGGATTCTCATTTAGCCATCTGTTTACTAATAAAATCCATATTGGCTGAATTGTTCCATTCGTCTTCAATATATCGTCATATTGAGAATTTGAAGTAAGAATTTTCAGGTCTTACATATGCGTAAGCAAAGATATGTCAAGAGACCATTAGTGACGTATAAAAATCGCTAACTTTCCTATTCGCAATTCGTTATTAGATTCGTTTAGATTTATAATTAAATATACTAATAGGATTAATTTTTGTTTAAATCCCATAGGAAAATCATAGTCTGCTATGATAGTAAATTCATTAACAGATTGTAATGTGTGGAATGTATGACCTATTGCAGGTATTCTAAGTCTAATCTTTACCTTGTTATTTTGGGAAATGACAACTGAAATATCAGCAAAAGTGCTAACAAATTGGTTTGTACCTTTTACTGATATGAGAAAATAATGGCTATCAGAATATTTACACATCTCAGTACGCGAAATTTTAGCAACTGTGATTCATGCCAGATGATGATATACTTTCACAGCGATTGAGTTTGATTAATAGGGTAAAGGTAACTTTTCAATATAGTCCTTGTCATGTAAATTTCGTACCTTTCTTTAAGATTTTTACGCAGATGTTCTATATTTTGAACTTTGATAGCCTTCTTCTGTCATTTTGCATCTGCTAATCCAAATTCTACGTAATCACATATACAATAAGTTGTCTTAATTTTTTCTTTACAATTTTGGGCATATATGGCATTTCATTTTAACTTGGTAATTCTTAGAGATGTTAAACAGTCCCAAATGACTGTAAACAAATATTAAAATTATGAGTTATAGAAAAGTTTAATTGTTAGGGTTCCTCAAAATCGAATTGAATCAAATTGAACTCAAATATTTGATCAAATCAATTTGAATCAATTTAAATTTGATTAAATCGAATCAAATTAAATCAAATATTTGTCAAATCAAATCAAATCAAATCAAATATAAAATTTTTTAATTTTACAATAATATATTAAAATAAAGTTATTTTAAAGTTTTAATTAAGAAAATTATTAGTAATTGCACTAAAAAATT